CCACGTCCATTGACAAAGCCATTTCCAAATTGACGTTCGTATACCACTCCAGCATGTGGTCTCACTCGGTCTCCTTGGGTGTAATGACCACCACCGTAAACATTCGTATGTTCATTCAATTTTCTTTGTAACTCTAAATTGATGGTTGCACGTTGATCGGGACCGCTCAATGGTTTTTCTCCACGGAGTACAACTGATCCTTGAGGATCATCAACTTCACGGGGTAAACGTTGATTCTGAAAAACAGTAAGACATTACTTTTAGATTCTTATAAAATAAATTCATTATTAAATAATAATAATATTCATTCATTAATATAACATAGGTTATGTTAATCATATATATGTTAATAATTATTAACATAACCTATGTTATGGTAATGAATGAATATTATATTTATACAAACATAATAACATTCATTAATACATAACCTAATATTTATATAATCGAAGGTTTAATATTTTGTATTATAAATAATAAGTATGTTAATAATTATTAACATAACCTATGTTATGTTAATGAATGAATATATTATATTTATATTATATAATATTATAATATAATATATAAAATATATATTGTATGTGTAATATAATTATATATAATATAATATATAATGTTATATATTAACAACATAACCTAAGTTATGTTAATGAATGAATATTATATTTATATAGTGGAAAGTTTAATATTCTTAATTATAACTATACTAGTATATAAACTGTTATATCAAATATAACTTTTACTTTAGAAATTATTCTAAATCTTAGGATACAACAAATAAACAGTTTATTTTATAACTATAAAATAAAATAACAAAATTAACTTACCACTGTTTCTAAATCAGCAATAGCAGGTGCATCTTGTAGATTATCCAAATTTGCATTAGAGTAAGTAATCGCAACTGATGCGATTAAAAATAACAATTGAAACTTCATTGTTATAGAAAGAGATATTCAGTTATTCTATTAGATTATAACAAATTACAGATAATAGAGTAGAAGAAGAAACTCAGAATGAAATCTTCTTTTGTGACTTCGTGAATTGAACTGTGCTTTCTTTGCTGATGTCTTTCTCTTATATACTAATCTTACCATATGTACGGGTTATATACATGCGTATTCCATTCGTTTTGTTTGCCATAATCGTCGAGGGATCCCCGGGAAGTTCCATATACTCGGGGGACTTTGGTGTATTCCAGTTCTGTTATTCGAAAAAAGAAACTGTTAAATGCATTTTAACTTGGATAAACTATGATAGTTCAAATGATTTAATTACTTCCATCAAAGTTCATCTAGTTCATATCATATTTTTGTGATATGTAACATTGAATCGTTAATTGGTCGAAGATCATTTTATTTGACTTTATCTTCTCATGTAATTGATAAATATCTTGTCATATCATTCATTCAATAAATTATTATTATTATTATGTTATAATAAATGTTTCATTAAATTTTAATATTTGTATATGCAATTTTTATTTTTATTTTTATTTTAAATAAATTTGATTTATTTTATTTATTAATAATATATAATTTTTATTGTTAAAATATATAACCTCACTATTACATATATTATAACTATACTAACTGTACACATGTTAATAACTACTATTAATTATTATTTTGTGAATATTGCTTATATTAACAAATCTTCTTAATATATATAAATTACGTGTCCGGTTGTTTGTCCGCAATGGACTCCTAAACTACTGAACCGATTTTAATAAAATTTTGCACATTGTGTGCAGTTTCATTCAACTTGAAAGATAGGATAGTTAATATCTCAATATATAATTGCAATATTATTTTATTGCGAATTATTTGTTTATTAATAAAGAGTCATGATTATCTCTGTTAGTTTGATAAGATTCTAACAGATGACGGTATAAGGTAATTCGTTGACTTAAAGAAGACGTGTGTATCGGACTAATTGTGAGCCACAGCTACGCGTGGCGGGTCACCCCTAGTTGTTATATATATAGTTATATTAATTATGTATATTTATTATTATATTAGTTATACAATTTTGCTTCCCTTATTTTCCTACAGATGGCTTATAGAAAAAAAATGTTGATAACAAAGTTATACACCTATTACTAAATATTGCTGATATAAATGAATTTTTCCCATTGTTAAATAAATTAAACTTATATAATTGTTATAACAGGAGATAATGAAACAACGCTACAAACAAGTATGAAATAAAACAAATAGTCATTTGTTTTAAACAAGCCAAAGAGTAGTTATTTAAATATAGCACATCATTGTTTGCATTGTATCAAATGAGCTATTGTCTTGCTTATTATGTTTCACATGTCACGCTAGTATTATTAATTAAAAAGAACAATAGTCAAAAGTGGAATTCTATAATTACCATTTACGTCATTATCTACATTTGAATTGACAAAGAAAACACTAATGATAATAAATTTATTAAGTGGGAACCACCGCAGAAGAAGAAAAAGAAGAAAGCACATACTTATCTTCATTTTATTTTCTTTTTTCCTGTATCTTTTATGTTAAATGTCATATTTTATTTATTATTTATACGTAATTATTCATATTTGCGTTGTTATTATTATTATTATTATTGCATTTATCAGTTTATTAACAATGTCGATAAGAAATGTCAATTTTATTTCAGTAAATTCCCGTCTTTTATCAATTTATATTATTCTTTCATATTTTTCCTCCTTTTCTATCTTATTTGTAAGAAAAAGAAAAAGAGGATACGTATATATATATATATATACCGGGTGTTAAATTATTAAAGACTTTCTATTAGTTTGTATTTATTGTATATTAAATTTAATAATAATAATAATATTAATATATTTGTTTTTATTTAATTTTAGGCTAACTTTGTTATAACGCAATTCATTGCATTGCTATTGGCTGGATTATTCAGGTCATCTTTAAGTCATAAAGTAGTAAAACCAGCTACCAGACATTGGTTTGGTCTTACCATTGGTCTCGCGCTTGGATATTTCTGCTTTGGCAGGTAAATTTTATTATAATTATAATAATATTTATTATAATTAAATATATAATTGTAAATAATTGAATATTAAAATATAATAAAATAATAACAATTTTGATTATACAGACAAGCTGTACATTTGGTGGGTCTTCCAGTATTTTGTTATACAGCAATGAGAACACAAAATGCTGATTGTATGCAAAGGTAAAAATTACTTCGTATAAATAAATTATTTATAAAGGAAATCTTTTAAAAAAAAAAAAAAAAAAAAAAAAAA